AAAATATATTTTTATTGATTTCAGAGAGGAAGGGAGAGGGGAGAGAGATAGAAACATCAATGAGGAGAGAGAATCATTGATCAGCTGCCTCCGGCACACCCCCAACTGGGGATCAAGCCTGAAACCCGGGCACGTGCCCTGACTGGGAATCAAACTGTGACCTCCTGGTTCATAGGTCGACGCTCAACCACTGAGGCATGCCAGCTAGGGCTATTACTATTTTTTCTAAAAATATTTTTATTGATCTCAGCGAGGAAGGGAGAGAGAGAGAATCATTGATTGGCTGCCTCCTGCATGCCCCCTACTGGGGATTGAGCCTACTACCCGGGCATGTGCCGTTGACCGGAATTGAACCCGGGACCCTTCAGTCCGCAGGCCGATGCTCTATCCACTGAGCCAAACCAGCTAGAGTTGTTGTTCCAATTATTTATGCATTTATTGGTTGCTTTTTCTAATGCCCTGACCGGGGATAGAACCCGAAACGTTGGTGTATCTAACCAACTGAGCTACCCGGCCAGGACCTATCTCCGATTATTCTTAAAAAACAAACAGAAACCCATTCTTGATGGAACGTACTGCGTAAAGATGGTCTAGGAACAATTTGATCCCGCGGGGAGAGCTGCTTCAGGGATGAGAGGACTAAAGGGAGAACCCGCTATTTATGCTCCATCTGGAGCTCACTGGAGGTGTCTCTGAGCCCCCAGACCTGGCCCGGCATTGGCACCACCCTCACCTCTTTCCTCTTCCTCCACAGCCCAGGCCCTGGCCTCCTGGCCCCTGCCTCTCTCTGTCCCCCCTCTCCATCTCCATGGCTGCCTATCTGGCCTGGACCCTCACCCCAGCCTCCTGGACTCCAGGCTCTTCCCTCCAGCCCATCCCCACAAGGGTCCTTCCAAGACCAGAGCTGACCCAGCGCTCCCCCCCCCCAACCCCCACCGCGCCTGGACCTGGCATTGGGGTCCCACCCATCTAGGCCGCCCCTCTCTGCAGCGCTGTCTCCCGATTTCTTTGTTTCTCTTCATCTGCACCCCGGCTTCTCTGAAACCTTCCAGTCCCTGCATCCCAGGTCCAGGGGCTGCGACCTTGACCCTGATATTTTGAGTCTGCGTAATTATAAATTTGTAATCAGGATTTCACCAGAGCTGATGGATTCTTGCCAAGGAAGTACTTTGAAACTGCCTTGATCAGTTTTATGTGCAGGGCAATGAGACTAGCTTCAGTTATTCTGTGCAGGGCAATGTTATTCTCAGTTTCTGACATGATTTCCGCATGGTTACCTAGCATCTGGGTTCAGTTTTACACAAACATTGGTCCATCATTGGCGTTTTTGTCTGGATTGGATTTTGCCAAGTTTCGGGTCTGTGTTTGTGAATTGTACTTTTCCCGGGTGAAGTGTCATCGGTTCAGATTTCATCAGGGAGGCCTGAATGTTGCGTCGGTGACTTAGTCCACAAAAATGCTGACTGTTTCTACCATTTCTTAGCTGATTTATAAAAAACGGATTTTGAGGAATTTCCCCCTCAATTACTTTCTGTTGCCAAGAATGGGCGACATAACGTTGGTTCCTTCCTGCCATAGTTCCCGGATCATACCGTGTGGTGCCCAGAGAGCGGCACAAAGGGCACATCTAAACGTCCTTGGGAACACATTGTCTTTGGGTCTTGGCACCTGCTGGTCCCCCCTTCCTGAAACACTGCCCCTTCCTCTCCTTGGCCACGCCAACTCCTGCACTTCCTGTAGGCCTCAGGCTTGCGGCCTCTGTCTTTAAAGCCTTCCTTTATCCCACCCAGACTCTGGGTCCCTCCGTTGTGCTCCCCTAATGTCCTGAGATCACCCCAAATGGTACTTGAAGTATGGCCTGTGCTCTCTCTCTCCTTGAGTCATCACTCTATCTCAATTGAAAAGATCTTTGAAATGTAGTCTATTGCCAAAGAAATGCAAAAATACGTCCCCCCTGAACAAGATGAAGCAGGTGAAGGAATAGAACAGGAGCCAACGGTTTCCTCCGTCTTTTCAAGTGTCTCACTTTCTCAGCAGTGACTTCCCTCGACAGTGGGGTGCACACCCCGCCTGTTCTTTCTCTGTGCATTTACATGGAGAGACGCCCATACTTCTTTGCTACACAAACGACACTATATTTTATGTATCCTTCTGCAACTTTTCCTTTTCACCTACAACATTTCCCCCATGTCAGTGTTTGCAAATATACGGTATTCTTTGAACCACCTACAACATGTCCTGACATTTTTCCCATGTCAGTGTTTGCAAATATACGGTATTCTTTGAAAATATGCTGCATCGGGCCCTAACCGGTTTGTCTCAGTGGATAGAGCGTCGGCCTGCGGACTGAAAGGTCCCAGGTTCGATCCCGGTCAAGGGCATGTACCTGGGTTGCGGGCACATCCCCAGTGAGGGGCGTGCAGGAGGCAGCTGATCGATGTTTCTCTCTCATCGATGTTTCTGACTCTCTATCCCTCTCCCTTCCTCTCTGTAAAGAATCAATAAAATATATTTTTAAAAAAATTTTTAAAAAATAAAATATGCTGCATCGGGTTCCAGAAGAACGGAACCAGTGGCTAAAGATCAGACAAGACAGGCTTCTCCTGGCCAGAATGTAACGAGTGAATGCGTTTTTTTCCTAAGGCGCGGAGACAAAAATTCCGCGCTTGAAGAGAGAGAAATCGGGCCCAAAGTGTCTCCACAAAGTCTCTTTCATTTTCTGCTCCAGATAGTCATCAGGTATTAGCTGCTCTGGGGCCAGTCCTCTGCTGATCATGTTTCTTTTTCTACAAAGTCCTCGCTGTGAGGACACCGCTCCTTTTGAGAACAAAGAGCTTTGTGGACAGAGTCTGGTGACTATTTACAGGGGCTACACCCCCGTCTCTTCTCAGCGGATTCACTGGGAGGAATGCCTCTCCCATGCTGTGTTAGAAATGCTACCCAGGAAGACGACATGATCACTTTATTCCAACAGCAGTGCCAGAGAGTCTGGCAGGACCCTGAGCTTGCATTTATCTCTTGTATTTTGTACAAAATATCTCCTGAGATGAAAGGGGAAGGCCTTGTTCACCCATGCTCTAGGGCAGTGGTTCTCAACCTTCCTGATGCCGAGACCCTTTAATACAGTTCCTCATGTTGTGGTGACCCCCAACCATAACATTATTTTCGTTGCTACTTCATAACTGTAATGTTGCTACTGTTATGAATTATGAATCGTCATGTAAATATCTGATATGCAGGATGTCTTTTCATTGTTACAAATTGAACATAATGAAAGCATAGTGATTAATCATAAAAACAATATGTCATTATATATGTGTTTTCCGATGGTCTTAGGCGACCCCTGTGAAAGGGTCGTTCGACCCCCAGGTTGAGAACCACTGCTCTAGAGGTACCAGCGTATTTTAGACATTTTGTCAAGCTTAGCGTTTTCTAGGGGAGAGGAGAAGTATTGCGTGGAGAAAAAAAAAAATCCCAAGATCTCAGCTTACCATGGAGAAATTTCCAGTGAATTCCAGAATTGCATGGATGAATCGTTTTGTTTTACCAGTCCCTTCCAGATGGACATTTTGGTTGTTTCTAATTTTTTATTATTCTAAAGTAAAAAGTAATACAAGTTTACATGGGAGATTTAAATTTTGTAGGTTGAAGTGTACCTATTCTTGATGTGGATAGATTTCACCCACCGTCAGGGTAAGAAAGTGCCCTCTGAAGGACATGCTTGGCAAAATCAAGTATTTTCAATCTTTAAAATTTTGTAGCTCTCAATTTAGCTTAACTTTTTCTTTTTTTTTCTTTTTGCCAAAAATGACCTCTCTTTTTTATATTTATGCATCCTTGACTACTAGTTAAGTTGGGCATCTTTTCATAACTAATGGTCACATGGACTTCTGTCAATTATCTTTTTATTTTTATTTTTAATCCTCACCCGAGGATATTTTTTCCAATGATTTATAGAGAGATGAAAGGGAGGAGAAGGGGACAGAGAGAGAGAGAGAGAGAGAGAGAGAGAGACATGGACGTGAGAGACACATTGGCACATTGATTGGTTGCTACTGGGACTGGAGAACTTGCAACCAAGGTTATGTGCCCTTAACCAGGAATCAAACTTGTGGCCCTTTGGTCCAAGGATCGACGCTCTAACCATTGGGCAAACAGGCCAGGGCTCAATTGTCTTTTCATATCCTTTGCCTCCACTTAAAAATTTTCATGTTCATTGATCTCTTGCATATATATCTATATCTATATCTATATCTATATCTATATCTATATCTATATCTCTGGATCCTAACCCTTGGTGGTTTTGTTCTATCTTCTCAAACTCTGAAGCTTGTCTTTTTACTTTGCTACCTTAAGCATTCTTTTAGTCGGTAACTTTTCCTTTGAAATAACCCAAGACTAACAAAAAATATTGCAAACACAGTGCAGAGAATGGCCATACACCTTTCACCCGGATCCTCCAAATGTTAACATCTTACCTTATCGAGACCCGAAATCTTATTCAAACTACCCAGCTGTCCCACTGATGTCCTTCTCTGGTCCAGGCGCCAGTCCACGACCCCATACAGCCGTTGGTTGTCATGTCTTGAACTTAATGTTACGGGGACCTCCTAGTTTTTTGTTAAGGCTGTGCAGCTGGTATTTAGTGGATGCCAGTGCTGGCCCGGCCCAGCTGGCACTGTGAGATCTGCGTGCACCCGGGTGAATGGGGGAGGCCACAGCCTCATCTGCAGCCTGGTGCGGGGAAGACGCAGGTTTCCTATGCACCCTGTTAAGGGTGACCCCTGTCTCGTCTCCCACACCCCAGGCTGACCCCGGGCCTGTATGACCTGGGCCGCACAGTCCTCTGCCTGGACTTCATGGTCTTCACGCTGCGCCTGCTGCACATCTTCACGGTCAATAAACAGCTGGGGCCCAAGATCGTCATCGTGAACAAGATGGTGAGGGGTGGGGCCTGGGTGGGGCCCGGTGGGTGGGGCCACAGCCTGGAGGGCGGGGCCAGGTCCCAGGAGGGCGGGGCCAGCTCTGGTCTCATCTCCCTCTCCTGCAGATGAAGGATGTGTTCTTCTTCCTCTTCTTCCTCGGAGTGTGGCTGGTGGCCTACGGGGTGGCCACGGAGGGTCTCCTCAGGCCCAGGGACCAGGACCTCCCGCAGATCCTGCGCCGCGTCTTCTACCGGCCCTACCTGCAGATCTTCGGGCAGATCCCGCAGGAGGAGATGGACGGTAAGGAGGGAGGGAGCCTGGCACCCTCTGAGTCCCTTCTCTCTTCCCTGTCTCTGGGTGGGTCTCTACACCCTTCTCTCTGGGTCCCCGTCTCTCTCTGCGTCTCTAAGCAGCGCCCCCCCAACTCCCCCTTCATCCCCAGGGGACTCTGGCCTCCTCTCTCTGCATCTCTGTCCTCTTGTCTTTGGGTCTCGGACCCTTGCTGTGTTTCGTTGGGTCTTGTCCCCTTGCTTTCTGGGATTCCGTCTCCCCACGCCCCTCTAGATTTTTTTTAAAAAAATTGATTTCAGATCCAAAGACAGAGAAACAGCGATCAGACTATCAATCCCCAGAGGGAAAGTAGGGGAGGGAGGGGGTAAGGGGAAGAGATCAACTAAAGGACTTGTATGCATGCATATAAGCCAAACCAATGGACACGGACAACAGG